GATCTGCATCATCTGTTGAAAATTGACTACAAGATATCTGATTTCATCTTCAGTGATGTCTTGGTGTCTGCTGAGTGAGTCTGGAAGTCTGCAGCTCTGGGATCAGAGGTCATGATTAGAAAATTCTGGAGTCCAGAAAATTTTTTGGTGAAGGCACTTGGCCAGATTAATGTCAAGCCCCGGGAAATCAGGAGATTCAGGCAGTTCAAATGAGTATAAATATTTAGTTAGTTCTAGATCTAGTTAGTTAGTTAATTAGTTAAACTTTGATTCTGACCAAGTGACCATTAAGAGAATGTGCGGGAGTTAAGATAGGTATTCAAGCTGGGCTGGACTCTGATCTCTTATGGGTGCACAGGGACTCCTGAAGTATGACATGTTTGATCCCTCCCTCAGGCTCAGCATGGTCATCTCCTACAATTATGTTCTATTGTTGGTCTCTGCATTATATTGAATTCTAATGTCATGCCCCTGTCGGAATCTGATTCAGAGGAGGAGGCAGAGCAACTGACAGGGAGTGGGAGTGTGGCTCCATTGGCTGTGGAAGAAACTGGGGAAGGGCAAAGGCCGGCTGGGCAGAGCAGGGGAGAGGTAGAGCAAGGGAGAAGGAATTCAGAGGAAGACCAGGCCCACCCTCTCTTCATCCTAGGGCACGCAGGGAGGAACGGAGAAGGGAGCAATGTGAGTTGTGTGGCTTATGGGGGAGGAAAGGGCCCTGATTTCCTTCATTAGCTGCAGCTGGGAATACAGTATTTAAAAAGGGAAGCTGCACACAGCAAAATTGTTGGGAGCAAATAATGAATTATCTGGTATCATCGAGGCTTATCTGGGTTCCTGGTGTCTTCCCAACTGTGTGTGTTTTGCTGTCCTTTCAAGTCTGCAATTCCTTCTCCTGACCTGTCAAGTTAATTACTGCAACGTGGTTTGTGTGGATTTTTATTTACTGTTTGTATGTACTATGTTTTCGGACTGAATTTCCTCCACTTAAAGACTGTTCCTGGGAGAGTTTTTCCCCAGCCGAAGGTAATCTGGACATTGAGGGCAAAGTTGGAGGTATTAAAGGGACATTTCTTGCTTATTTGACTGTTGCCTTTGTGCCATGCCCCGGGTCATCACATCTAATAAAACACAATCACTCTCCTCCAAAGTTCCAGCAACTTCAACCCTCTCTTTCATTTCTTCTCTGTTAGTAAGAATTAGGTCCACTATAGCTGTCCCTCTAGTTCCCTCGTCTGCTTTTTGGATGACAAAGTTGTCAGATAGGTTGGTCAACAAAATATATAACAAAATATATAACAACAAAAACAAAACAAACCTTTCTGTTCATCAGTGTGTCAATTGGGTACACATTTCTTTGTGCACATAATACCATTATCATTTTACTTATATATGTTTATAATCCTTCTAATCAGTATTTTATGTCACATATATCACTTATTATATTAGCCTTAATGTTATATTTGTTGATTTTCAGTAATATATTTCAGATTCATTTTCTTACTCTGTCTAACTCATTCATTTATCAGTAATAAATATTATACTGTACTTACATATTTCAATTTCTTACTCTTCTATCTAGCCATTCATAAAATAAATTCCAAATTTTATAATAATCTTTTTCCTCTTGTTCTCTAATTGCCATTGTCACTCTACTCATTTCTGCACATTCCATTATTTTCTTAATTATTTCCTCATCCATCGGAGTTTTCTCATTTTTCCAATTTTGTGCAAATACAATCCTAGCTGCTGTTAATACATTGATAATCAAGTAGGTTAACTCTTTATTGTAACCCTCAGGCAAAATTCCCAATAAAAATGTCTCTGGTTTTAAATCTATAAATTGTTACACATCTTACTGTCAAATAGACTCCTAAGTATTTTACTTTCTTAGTAGTCTGAATATCTGTTCTCTTCATTAACTCTTTTTTTCTGCATGTCTCTAAGATTTTTAACTTATATCTTAGTTTTCTCTTTGTTTATTTTCAATCCTGCCACTTTACCATATTCCTCTATTTTTTTATTAGTTTAGGCCCTGTTTCTTGTGGATCTTTCAGAAGGAAGACAGACTACATTGTCTGCAAATGTCTGTAGTTTATATTTTTCCTTTTTTATTTCCATATCTTTTATCTCTATATCTTGTGTAATATTTCTGTTTAATACTTCCAGTGTCAATATGAATAATAGGGGAGACAAGGGGCATCCTTTGTCTTGTACCTTTTTTAATGTTAACCTTCTCTGTCATATCTCCATTTACTATCACCTTTGCTGTTTGCTTATAATATATTGCCTTAATCATGTTAATAAATCTCTCCTCAAAATCTATATCTTTCAATTGTGCTAGCATAAATTACCAGTTCACATTGTCAAATGCTTTCTGTACGTCTAGAAAGACCAACGCCATTTGCTTCCCTGGATGTGCTTCATGGTACTCCAGTGTATTTTAAATTATTCTCATATTGTTTTTAATTTGCTTTTTTTGGTAAATATCCATTTTGATTTGAATGTATAAATTGATACATCTTTTTAGTCTTTCTGCAACTATGGAGGCATATATTTTATAGACAGCAGTCAATAAAGATATTGGTCTATTTTTTTTATCTGTTGTAAGTCTGAATCGTCTTTCGGTATGAGAGTAATATATGCTTCCATCCATGAATTTGGTATTTTCACTTCTAACAATAGTTCACTGAACACTTCCAACATTGGTGTATATGGTATATTTTATAAATCTTTATAGAGTTCTGCTGATAGACCATCTGGGCCCCGTGTTTTGCCATTCTTTTGTCTCTTAATTGCTTCTGATAATTCTATCATTGTTATACGTTCTTCTAACATAGCTTTTACTGTTTCAGGTATTTTAGGTAACTCTGCTTTTTCTAAGTATTGTTTTATTTTATCTTCTAAAACTGTCTCTTAATTATATAATTTTTCATACTAATTTTGGATCACTTTCTTTTTATCATTATTTTAATGGTGAAGATTTCCTTCCTCATCCTGGATCAGGTTTTTTTTCTTTCTCCTTTTTCAATTTGTATGCCAGCCAGTTTCCTGGTTTATTTACATTTTCAAAGAAATTTTGTTTAACATTTTTATTTTTTTGTGCTAATTCTTTATCTATTACGTTCAGCTTGTGTTTTATTAATTCCATTTGGTTTTTTAGATTCTTTTTTTGTGCTCCTTCTCTCTTTGTTATTTTTTCTAACTCTCTTTTGTCTCCTTTTTTGTATATCTATTTTTCTCCTATGGCTTCCTCTTGTTGGCTATCCACTTTTTCTTCTCTTGCTCCCATTTCCTCTTGTGGCCCAAAATAGTCATCATAAAATTGTTCTGCTTTTTCTATGGAATCCAATCTATGTCTTTGTCCCATCCAGGTCACCAATATTCCCTCTGGTATCAGCCATCTAAAATTTACTCCATTCTTAATGAGCTGTCTTGTCAGAAATTGATACTACCTTCCTATTTCTCTTCTGGAGATCTGTTTTAGGACTACTATTTTTTCCCTTTGTACTTTAAAGGGGTATCCCTCACACTTTGTAGTATCTCTGCTTTTATTGCTTCGATCACCCTTTTGATGCAGAGTTTGTCTCTCAGTTAATGTTAGGGTGGTTAAAAATCCCCATTACTACTGTAGCGTGTTTCTCACATACATCTGTTAACTGGTTAGCAGAAAGTTCATCTACAGGTAGTCTTTGAGGTATGAGCCTAATGGAGCCTGCCCATTATGTTAGTCAAAAAATTAGTCAAATGAGTCAAACTCAAATTTACAAACACCAGAAATTTTCCAAGCAGACTTAGCATATCCAGAATGCAAGATGTTTAGCTTCTCATCTAAGAAGCTCCTTCCATTCCCCACCATCCAGTCAAAGCTGAAGAAGCTTCTTAGATGAGAAGTGAAATGTCCAGAGAAAAAAATAGAAAGTCCAGACCACCTGCTTAAGACCACACAAGGCCTCCCTGACCCACTGAAATGCCTCATGCTCCTCACAATTGCTTCCCCCCCACAACCTGACCCACTGAGTCATCACATGAAGATTTAGCAAGCTGTCTCCTTTCCAGCCTCTCAGCTGCATATTCCTCTCTGCAGCTTTGTTTTGGCCTGCACAAGCCTCGCCTGGCACTTTGCAAGCCAAAATGGAGCTTCAGAGTGGTGAGCCCACCCTTCCAATGCTCCATTTTGGCCAGCAAAGTGCTGGGTGAAACCTGTGCAGGCCTAAACAGAGCTCCATTTTGACCAGCAAACTACAGGGCAAGGACAGTGTAGGCTTAAACAAAGCTCCGTTTTGGCTGGCAAAGTGCCAGGTGAGGCCTGCGCTGGCCAAAACAGAGCATCGGCCTCTGAATCTCTATTTTGTCCTGCAAAGTGCAGAGTGAGGCCTGTGTAGGCCTAAATAGAATGATGGAGCAGTGGGCCCACTGCTCTGCCACACTATTTTGACAGGCAAAGTGCAGGACGAATGTTGCAGAGCCTCTGCGGTTACTCATCATGGTGCTGCAAGATTCATAGTTTCAGGACTTGTTTGTAAATATTAGGGGGTGCTTATTGCGTAACTTTGAATATTCGCTAAGGGAATGCTCGTAACCCAGGGATTTCCTGTATTTAGACTTGGTTTGAGTTTTGTTCTGAGGGCTACTGAAAATATTTTGAAACTTAAAATGATCATCACGTTTTTGTTATGATCAAAAATGAAAAACATTTTAGATTATAATAACTAAAGTGTTTTTAAATTTAGCATTTACTAAGCCTTTGTTAACTTGGCTTTATTTCATAAATACAGCCTCATTGTTAATCTAATACAAAATTTATATATTAGCCATGCTTCTGTCATTAAAAATAACCTATCGTGTATAGGACTTAGAAATTTTAAACTTCCAAATTAATTCAAGTGAACCATAAAATTTAAATTGTTATATTTTTTTTTAAAAAAAGGATTTCATTCATTCATAGTTTTTCATAATCTTTTCAATGGAGCTTTGTTCTGACTCTCTTGAGTTTCATTCAGATGTTGCCAAAATCAAATGAAGCTTCCCGTCAGCATGAAAGCCACCCAGAAGAGACTGAAGAAGAATTAAGAGAACATCAGACATTTGTGGAAGACCAATACATTGACAGCACAGCAAATCAAAAGGAAATTCAAGGATTGACCCAAATGGTCCGTGTGAAGCAAGAACCTGCTGAAAGTGATGAAGATGGAGAACAACAAGAATTGGAACCAGGACAAAGGCAAGCAGAGCAGGAATTGCTCTTCAGACAGGTAGAATACACTAAATAACGGCATTTATTAGTTAGCGTATAGTTTCCAGAGGCTTGTATATTTATTATTCAGTCATTCTGTATAGAAAAAAACATCTGGGTTGACATAACACCATAAGTCAGAATGTGATTCTTCCATTCTGACATTGAATTTTGTACAAACCCAATCTAATTGCTTTTATAACTTATAGAACAGAAGTCTCAAATTCCTGAGTATCAAGTGACTTAACTATGGAACATAATTACATAAAAAAAATTAATGCCAAGAATTAGGATTCAGGAATACAGAATCCTTAGAACAATGATAGGACTAATGCAAGGTTATGCCAATTCTTGATGATTTCAGCTCAGAAGAGATGTATTTAGTTTGCTGCTTCTATTACAGATGTGAGAATGTTGATCACATTTGGCTATTCAAGTGTTTCATTTTCTATTCTTCATTTTCTTCTTTATGTCTGAAGTAGAAGTTTGATTTCTCTTCCAAAAATTGTCCCTGTATAGAGAAGTATAACAGTTTATTTTTCATTACAAAATGCAATAATATAAATTGCAATTTGTTCTTTTTCATAATGTGCATTATATTCAAAACCATTCTGAATGTATATTAAGGCAGTGACTTATTGTACTTGTACTGTTCATCCTTTGAAATAGTTAACATGGATTTTTTTTCTGAAGAGATTAACTGAGTAAATTTTAAGGGAAAAAAAGATGTGTGTGAATTATTAATAATTCCATTTCAATTGAGATAAAACTTTGTCATGATATAAAGAACTTTATACATTATTACGTTTAGCACTACAGAATTACTCTGAATCTCTTCAGTGTCAAATTTGTGTCACAAGAAAAAATGTCCAAATAATTGGACTACAGTGAAGCTAATGTTTGAATTACAACCATTCATTTAATGACCATTCAAAGTTAGAACGGCACTGAAAAAAGTTATTTATGACAGTTTTTCACACTTAACAACTGTTGCAGCATCCCTATAGTCGTGTGATCAAAATTCAGACACTTGGCAGCTGGCATTTATTTGTCATGTGGTCCTTGGGGTCATGTGGTCACCCTTCGCAACCTTCTGACAAGCCAAGTCAATGGGGAAGTCAGATTCACCTAACAACCATGTTACTAACATAACAACGGCAGTGATTAACATAACAACTGTGGCACTGTGACAAGATAGATCGTAAAATGGAGCAAAACACACTTAACAACTGTCTTGCTTAGTACCAGAAATTTTGGGCTCAATTGAGATTGTAAGTGGAGGGCTACCTTTATTTTCTTCAACCCAATATACCGCACTGGATTCATTTTAATTTTTTTCCATTTTCTGTATCTAATTATGTATCTAGAACTGTTCCGGTCTTTCACCCATTTTTCCTTTCCATTTTTTTCCTTTCTTTTGCTTTCTTTATTTTCTTTATTCTTTAACCTAAAGATGGTTAAAATATTGCTAATTCATTCCAGTTATGGTCCAGTAATTATTTAAAGGTGATTCTTGGGTCAGTTGTTTTATTTCTTCAGCTGGATATTTCATAGTTTAGAAGTCAATGATGTAGCCAATTTTTAGAAAAGTTGAGGATGAATATCTCTTAACTCCAATTTCAAGTTCTTGCAGATGTTTTATTACTCAAACTAGGTAACACAACATGATACACATGTTGATGTTACCTAGTTTGGGTAATGAAATGTCTGTAGGAAAACAAGCAAATTCAGAAAGCACCAACGATCCATCATTTCAATCCTGAGCTACAAATATTCTCCTTTATTATAACTTAAATGTTTTATTATTTAAATCATGTTCAATTTTCAGAGAATGCCTGGACAAATCACTGCACTTTTCTTGGTGAGATTTTTCAGAAGTGGTTTGCCATTGCCTTCTTCCTAGGGCTGGAAGAAAGTCACTGGTTCAAGATTTGTTGATCTCACTGTCTCCTGATTTCTAGCCTGATGCCTTAACTATATACCAAACTGGCTCTCTCAAAACACTATTCAAGGGCTTTAAAATATATACTAATGTATATGTATATAGGTATATTAGCTAAGAAAGCAAATACCTAGTAGACTATTATAAAGTAATTGTTCACAAACAAAAAATAAGAGATTTGTAAAACAAGCCTTCAAACAATGACACATTTTATGTTCCCTTATAGCAAACTCTTTTACTGGAACAGCAGCGCATTCATCAGCTCAGAAACTACCAGGCATCCATGGAAGCTGCTGGCATTCCAGTATCCTTTGGTGGACATCGGCCACTTTCTCGAGCTCAATCATCACCTGCTTCTGCCAATTTTCCATTATCCACACAGGAGACACCGTGTAAGCCACAGTTCACAACAGGTAATACATGAAAAAAAATCTCTTAGAATAAGAGAGCAGCCCAGCTCTCTTACATAATTTTGTTGGAGTTCCCTGGGGGAGGAAGATCACAAATGCTGCAGATGCTTTGCTAAGCATTCTAGCAAAACTTCATAAATACATTGATCCGGAAGTGGGTTTGCCTTGCTGTAAGTTTGAATTGTGTGGTGATTGGATGTTTTTTGGTAAATGTCCATTGATTGATAGTGGCATGTCGTACTTTTGTTTCAATTAGTACTTGTAGGGGCAGAATAAATTTTCATGAGACCAAAATTGTTATAAGTAGTTTCGTCGCTGCTCACATCCTGACAGAATGTGAGGTGCCTGATAAGGATCAGCTGAGGGGAAAAAGAAGGGGCAACAGAAACGAAATCCTCTAAGTCTGTATACCTGGAACTATTGAGTTATTTGGAGAATGATAATATAAGGAAAAATCAAAAATATAACAATATATCAAAAATATAAATATTGACCAAAAATATAAAATGAAGGGTCAAGTATAAAAACCTATGTTCAAAAAATACATTCAAATAATTGTTTTTTATTTCATGAGTTGAAGCTAACTTTTGAAAACTGTATAGGAATTACTTTTGTTTCTTCTTCCGAGTATTTTCCTGCAAGTGCAGGGTCTACTTTTGGGGGATCAAGTCAGTATTGATCCATTGGTGGATACAGCAATTGACAACCATCTTGTCATGGGTTAAGAAAGATCCAAAATCATCCAGCCAGCAATCAAGTGGAATTAGAATTCAGTCTTAACCATTAAACCAAACTGGTTCTCAGTAGTTTGGTTTTGGAAATCATTTTCAGCAATTACAAGTTGCCTTTGACTTAAAAAAATGTTTGCTAAACAAGGTTCAAATTAACAGCGGCCTCCAAAAAAGTCAGTTATGACCTGAATTAGACTTTACTACTTTCCCCTCACTCTAATAGTCACATGATTGCAATTTAGGCACTTGGCAGTCGACCCACATTTATGACCAGTTGCACCGTCACATTGTCATATGATCACAATTTGCAATGTTTCTGCCAAACAACAGCAAAGCCTACCCTCAATTAAACTAGATTTGCCCTTACAACTGTGAGTCAGCTGATGACTGCAGTAAAAATGGTCATAAAATTGAGTCCTGTAATTTACAACTGCAACAACTTACAACAGAAATCTATTCATGATGGTGGTCAAAGGTCAAGGATTATTTTTAGTTAAAAAGCTTAGTTTATGTGAATATTTGTATTACTTGCAAAATCCAGAGTATCAGTGTAAATTTCTCTATCCTGCTATTATGTTTGTTTTTGCACACTTCCTATTTGCACACTTCCTATTGCATATGTGTTGGGCAGTTTATAAGAATACAGTAAAATGTATATGCACACCTTCAGCATCACTTCCCAAGAAGAGCACATAAAGAAAGTTGATTGAAATTTGCTGAAGGTTACTGTTCCATAAGATCCTGAAGTTCATCACCAAAATTTTGAATTGGAACTGAAAAATCAATAACCAATGCTAAGTCTTTTACCACCAGTTAGCAGAAAGACCACTATGTACTGCACCAGCTGCAGCTTCTGTGTCATTTTCAAAGGCAGCCCCACATAGTATACTGCTGTGTCTTATCAATGATATGATGAGTTATTGTTCTCATGGCCTCCTGGTCCAAAAAGCATGTAGTTGGCATATCAGTCAAAACTGGTTTGAAGCTGTGAATCCAAAATAAATTCTAACAAACTAACTAATTAAAACATTTATTCATAATCAATATTCTTATCTCAACAAATAACTGCAACATCAGCAGTTTTACCAATATCCAGATGATAAAAGTGCATTTCTCTTGCAAAATGTTAGCTAACAATTAGCTGGGCTTGAATAGGAATAGGAATAAAGTCCTGATAAAGTACAATCATGTGAAAAAGAGTTCTATAGTTTTATGTATATTTTTATATAATAAAAATAATCTGTTCCTTAGCAGTTTTAAAAGTATGCAAACCTTAGATGTGTTGATGTTCAATCAATACATGACATATTACACTGTTACCATTTATTTACAAAAACAAAGCCAAAATGGAGAAGCCATGTGTGAAAAATTAAGTACACCTTATGATTCAGTAGCTTGCAGAGCTATCTATAGCAGCAATAACTTGAAGTAATCATTTTCTGTATGACTGTATGTCTCTTACATCGTTGTGGAGGAATTCTTCTTTACAACATTACTTCAGTTCATTTGTTTACTCACAACATTCTTGAGGTCCTGCCACAGCATTTCAATGAATTGAGATCTGGACTTTGACTGGACCATTGCAACATTTTGGTTCTTTTCTTTTTTTAATAAAAATTTTATTTGGGTTTTCACAAAACATAATACAAGTAAAATTTCTTTTTTTGAGAATAGCATGGTCCCGGGTTATCACTTCTCCATACAGACGCAAATTCAATTTCATATTCATCTTTGTGTTCTTTTCCATATCTTATTACATTTTCTCAATAATTTTTCCCTTCCCTTAGTTATCTCAATCTTACTTTTAATTATCACATTCCTTTCTAAACTCAATTATATATATCTTTTTCTAAGTTTCAATATCTTCCTAGTCATTATATTTATACTTTTGTCTGTCCTGTTTCAATTTCATATTTTCTTTTCTCATTAAACATTTTTTTTCCCTGTAGTTACTAATTGGAGTATGACACCTTTGTATCTTTTAATTTTTATCCATTCAATTCTTATTTAAACTTCAATTTATGCCTTTCCAATTATAACATTAAATATAACACGTAACTTCCAGTCGAATTCTGCTTGGTACATTCTTAAAATACGCACCAAGTTCTTAAAGAGAAAATATATATATAACAATAATAAAATACTTATTCTATTCCAATTCAGCTTTATCATTAATGTTAGTTATAATCTTTGACATCTTTAACATTTCTTTTCAATAGTGTATCATACTTCTAGGAACACTTATAATATTTCCATAATTTTTTCGTGTTTATTTTATATTCCTCTTCACTTAATTTTTTATAACACATTGATAATAATTAAAATGTTCCCCTCCTTTCCTAATTTCATTCTCTCATTCTCTTTATTTCATTTATTTATTAAACATTCCATTACATTACAATGAGTATTTTATCTTATCATTTTAATCACACTTGTTTCATATTTTCAAAGTTCATTTCTATTTCTAATATAACAATACTATCTTATGTACTCTTGCAGAATCCCCCTTTCAATTAAGTTTTCACCCAGTTTTCTCTGTGTCTTCTAAATAGGCTTATACCCTTAATCCTTGTACGTTTTCCCTGCTTCTCTATGTCCTGTTTCTGTCCTTTATAATTTCTTTTCCTTTCCCTCTTCCCCCTCTTCTTCTCCTTCCCTTTTTGACCCCTTCTCTCTCTAATTCTGATTGTCTCTTCTGTAATCCTCTCTTCTGTTTCTTCCTAATGTTATAATTACTTTTCAAACTATTCTTTTTGGGGGTTGTTTTTTCAAATCTTAATTTTTTCACTCTCTTTCCCCCCTTTCCTTTCTTTTCCCCACATAGAAATACTTGGTCATTGAAGATGGCTTCTTCTTTGTCCCACCCTTCTGGTTCTATAGCCATTTCTTGTTGTTTCTCATAGTTCAGGATCTCCATTTCTAAAAATTGAAATACGAAGCCAAAAGAACCTCTTCCTTCTTGTGCATCTTCTTTCTGTTTTCTAAGTTCCATTCTCAATTCTTCCAAGAGTGATACCATTTTAAAAAACTTTTAAACAACCACCCGATTAATTTTAGTCCTTTAGATCCAATAGCCAAAAATCCAAAAATCACCAAGTAATCCAAATAATTTCTTCTTGCTTCTTTTTTCCACTTGCTCTTCCTGGGGTTCTCTTATCTTGTTACAAAGTTTCAGTTAAAATATATCTTTTAGGAATCTTGTTAAAGTTTCACTGTTAATTCCTTTCACTTCCAGGTGGTCTCCTCCATTTTTCCAGATCCCACCCTTTTGTTTTTTTCCTTCAAATCCAGAAATCTTTATTATCCCTTTGACATTTTATTTTCAGGTTAAATACCTGTTAATGTCCAAGTGGATTTTTGCCAGTTTCTTGCTTAAATCTCTTAGTTGTCAATATAGGGAAGAAAAGAAAAAAAAAAACACCAAATCCTTTCCCTTCCCTCTCTCATTCGCCGCTTCAAAGTCTTCTTTGGGAACAATGTTGTTCTTTATAATTCAAATTCCAGGGTACCTTATATTGTTGCTTTTTCAGTTTGACCTGGTCAGACAAAACTTTCTTTTCTTATCTTCCTCCTGCACATTCTTTTCCGGTTGAGTTCTTCTTGGAGGTGGCCATTTCTGACCACCATTACAACCGCCTTCAGGAAAGAGAGTAATGGCCAGCTGAGGAGGAGAGATGCGACTCTCCTCGACCCTGCTGGCAGTCTCCCCCCTCATCACCACCTTTATGGGGTGACTTAGCCCCAAAACCAGCCAGCTCAGGGCGCTCCAGCGGCAAGCACAAATTGAAACTGCGCACGATCGTAGATTTCGGTCTGTTGCTGAAGAAGCTCCACCTTGGTTCTTTTCTTTTTTAGCTATCCTGTTATAGATTTGCTGGTGTGCTTGTGGTCATTGTCCTGTTGTATGATCCAGTGTCAGCCAAGTTTTAGCTGTTGGACAGATGGCCTCACATTTGATTCTAGAATACTTTGGTATACAGTTTATGATCGACTCGATGACTGCAAGACATCCAAAGTATGGCTGAAAAATAAGCCCAAATCATCCTTTCTGCACCACCATGTTTGACATTTGGTATGAGATGCTTGTGCAGATATGCTGTGTTTGGTTTTCACCAAAATATGGCACCATGCATTATGGCCATTCATCTCCATTTTGTTCTTGTCTGTCCAAAGGACAGTGTTCCAGAAGTTTTGTGATTTGTTCAGATGTAACTTTGCAAACCTGAGCCATGTTGTCATGGGTTTTTTTTTAGAGAGAAGAGGCTTTTTCCTGACAACCCTTCCAAACAAAGTATACTTGTTAATCTTTTTGTAATTGTTCTGTCATGACCTTTAACATTTAACAAGCTAACTGAGGCCTGTGGAGTCTGAGATGTAACTCTTGGATTTTTTGCAGTTTTTCTGAGCATTGCACAGTCTGACCTTGGAGAGAAATTGCTGGGACAAGTGGGATGTCCAGTCCTGGGAATATTGAATGTTTCCACTTGTGAATAGTCTTCCTCATTGCAGAAGGATCAATTTTAAATTATTGGGAAATGGTCTTATAATGGAATAACAAACCTGGAAGAGACCTTGGAGATCTTCCATTCCAACCCCATGGTCAAAAGGGGACTCTATATCAGGGGTGTCAAACTCAAAGCTCATGAGCCAGATTCAGCCCACAATTTGGTTAGATCTGGCCCATGGAACTGCCTTAGAAACAATGAAGGAACGGCCTGTGGTGCTTCAGCCTGGCCCATGCCAACCAGCCATTGATCTACAACCTGGTGGTGACCATCCAGCCAGAAAGCAATCAGCCTTAGATCTATGGTGGTGCCTTGGAACCAGCAAGGGGCTGTCCCCATCCCATCTTGGCACACGGACAGGAGGCGGTGAGCGCCCTTGAGGACCGTCTTCTCCCGCAGGCTGAGTGCATTCTGAGCACCTCCCTTTCATACAGGATGCCAGCCCCTGCATGCTTGCTGCTTCCTTGCTGACGGGGCGGGGCTGAGGCAGCTGTGCGGTTCCTTGCTGGCTCCAGGGCAGCCCTGCTGGTCAGATCTAAGGCCAATGCCCCAACCAATGCCATCTGTTGGCCAGGTGCTGTGCTCACTCACATGCTCTGGCCTTACTGTTTGAGTGTAGGAAACCTTCAACTGAGCCAAGAGGCATTGCAGAGCCAGACCCTCACATCCGGCCCCCCAGAATTTGCCACACCAGGGGAAGAGTGAGATCCCGTTGTCCCGCAGACCCTGCCTACATACAAATGGGGCACTTGGAAACGGAGGGATCTTTGAAGGCAGTCTTGTTGCTGCGCCGCCTCTTTCTTCAGCTTGGATGGAACCAGAACACCCAAGCTGCTGGTGGTGGCAGGAGTCACGGTGAGCCATGGTCCCTCCTCCCCAGCCAGCTGGCATCGCCTGACCTACTCCCTAACTGGCTGGCCTGCCATTGCAAAGCCTCATCAATCTTCTCGTTCTTATCCTCCCCTCAAACAGCAGCGGGCTCTGGAGGCAATGGGATCTCTCATTTCTTCCCTGGCAGGGTGAGCTCTGGTGGGCTGGATGCAGCTGTCAGAGGCCTGACCCCATGGTGCTCAGTTGAAGGCTTTGTTCCTGCCTTCAAACAGTAAGGCAGCCATGGAATGGCAATCAACTATGCACAGGAAACAATACTGTCTCTGGCCCGAGTGCGCTGCTCGCTTGCATTGTACTGGCTTTACTGCTTGGTCAAGAATGAAACCTTCAACTGAGTGAGGAGGCACCATGGGGCCAGGCCCCTTACACCCGTGTACAACACACTGGAGCTCGCCACCCCAGGGAGAAATGAGAGAGCCTGTTTTCCTGCAGAGCTAGACGCTGCTTGAGCGGGGAGGATGAAGAGGAGGAGAACAAGAGCAGTGAGGCTTTGCATCAATGGCCAACCAGGCAGGAAATAGGTCAGGTGAGGCTGGCTGGAGAGGGAGGATCATTATTGCTCAGGTGGCTTCCACCATCACCGCAACAGCTTGGGTGCCCCAGCTGCATCCGAACTGAAGAAAGCAGAGGCACAGGAGCACCATTGCTTTTTGTCTTGTCTTCTGGTACTTTGGAAAATAGGTTGAACCCCTCTTCCTTTGTGGCAGTCCTTCAAATAATGGAACACTACTGTCACCCCAGTCCTTCTTTTCACTAATTTCAAACCTAAATTCCGGCAACCATGCTTGATATGTTTTAGCCTCCAGGCCTCTAATCATTTTGCTCCTCTTCTCTGCACTCTTTCCAGAGTCTCACCATCTTTTTTATATTGTGGCGACCAAAACAGGATGGAGCACACTGCTGCCTTATATTTAAGTGGTTGTCTATTAGGATTCCTAGATCCTTCTTGTAGTTGCTGCTGTTGAGCCAGATTGCACCTATTCTATACCTGCGCAAAGGTTTTTCTTGCCTAAGTGTAAAATCTTACTTTTCTCAACACTGAATTTCATTTTGTTACCAGTAGATAGGACCCAGTGTTAAATGTGTTGGGATCCTTCTGGAGCTTGAGCCTATCTTCTGGGGTGTTCACTATTCTTGCCAGCTTAGTGTCATCTGCAAATTTGATGAGTTCCCCTTTCTATTCCTCATCAAAATTGTTTATGAAGATATTGAACGGTACTAAGTCCAAGATAGAACCCTGGGGTATCCCTCTACTTACTTTCCTCCATGCAGATGTAGTACCATTAAGGACTACGGTTTGTCAGCCAGTTATAAATCCATCTAGTGGTGGTATTGTCCAGCCCACGTTTTTCCAATGTACTGCGAAGTATGTTGTGGTGCACTTTGTTGAATGCTTTACTGAAATCTAATCCTATGTCCACTGCTTTTTGCTGGTCCGCTAATTTAGGCACTTTGTCAAAAATTGAAATAAGATTTGTTTGGCATGATCTGTTTTTGACAAACCTGTATTGGCTTCTGGTTATAACTTTGCTTGTTTCTAGGTGTTTGCATATCTGTTGCTTGATTATCTTTTCCAGGATCATCCCAGGTACTGATGTCAGGCTGATCGGTCTATAATTTCCTGGATCTTTCCCCCTGCTTTTTTGAAGATGGGAACCACGTCAGCTCTTTTCCAGTTCTCTTGTAGTTTCCCTGTGCACCAGGATCTTTGAAATATATGGTTCAATGGTTCCGAGATCACGTCTGCCAGCTTCTTCAAAACTCTGGGATGTAATCCATCTGATCCTGATGATTTGAACTCATCTAGGGTGGACAAGTGTTCTCTTACCATTTTCTTGCCTATTTTAATTTGCATTCTAGTTTGTCTCTTATGGTTCTTTTTTTTTGCTAGGTTGAACTTTTTTTTCCCTTTTTGTGTGAAGACATATGCAAATAATTAATTCAGCACCTCTGTTTTCTGTCTGCTGCCCATCATTTTCTCCCATTGAGGGATGGATTTTTCCCCTTTTTTCTTGTTTTTTACATGTTGAAAGAAACTTTTTTTGTTATTTTTTTTCATTGCAAATCTCACTTCACTCTGAGCCTTAACTTGTCTGATTCCATCTTTGCAGATTCAGGCTATTTGTTGATGCTCTGCCTTAGTTATGTGTCTATCTTTCCATTAAAAAAAAAATCCTTATAATCCTTCCCAGATCAATTGACAGCAACAATTGCTTCTCTAAGATAATTGCTGATGTGTTTCCTCTTTGGCATTGTGTTAAGACACACTCCGTGCTGGAGTCCAGCAAAAAGGTTGACTTTTATAGAGGCGGTCACACTTGCTAATGATCAATTGATCAAGAGCATTTGATTAACAGCACATAGCTGCTATTTTTAACCTCTTCATGCCTATGAAAGCAGTAAAGGTGTATTTGTTACAGTTTGATTTTTTATTTCTTTTTGTAAAATAAAGGACGATATGGTGTAATATGTCATGTCTGATATTGTATTTACCTGCTTTTAAGACCTGCTAAGGACCAGATGATTTTAGTATGTTCTTATACATAAAACAATAGAATTCAAACAGGGTTTACTTTCTATTTCACATGATTGTAGTAGCTTGCCTTGTATTACTGTGTAAAAAATTAAGACATTTTCCAGTTTTAAACTCTTCTTTTTTTTTAAAGTAACAGCAATAGTAAGCAAATTCTAGAATACAAAAGGTCTGTGAAATAGATCTGGAAAATGAGTGTTTTGCTCCTCAAATTTCAAAAACGTACATTTCTAAATTTAAGAAATGTAAAATGTTTGTATAATATAGAGCTAAAGAAAAAAGCTTTGTTGTTTCGGAAATGCTTGCTTCATATGCCATCAGGATAGTTCTCCAAATAAAAATGGATCTACCTACTCTCCACCTCAAGCAAATGGGCACAACAATCCAACATATTTCTCCTAGTATTTATATACAGCTGTTATGTTCTTATATTTGTTTACCACTCGAAATCACTATATGTGGGAAATGGGCAGTTTCTAAATTTAATAAATAAAGAAATATACCAAATGATGTACCTATTCCTTCAGAGAAAATGCAGCACTATCCAGATATATTTTCTGCTCTTGGCAAGAAAAAGAAGGGGAAAATTAGTGGCATTTTTTATCATGCTAAATCATGATTTAACAATTATATCTCAGCCATATTTATATCTCAACAATATTTTGTATATCTTCAACAATAATAATGGATGTGCCCTATTTTCTATTAACATTATAAGAGCTGTGGTGGTGCAGTAATTAGAATGCAGCTGACTAATTCTGCTTACTGCCAGCAGTTCAATTCTAATTGTCTCGAGGTTGATTCAGCTTTCCATCCTTCCAAGGTTGGTAAAATGACAACCCAGATTGTTGTGTGCAATATGCTCTGTAAACCACTTAGAAAGGGTTATAAAGCACTATGAAGCAGTATATAAGTATGAAATATAAAGTAATACCAATAAATAGTATTGGTATTGCTACTTTCTTGTTTAAATATCAGAGAAGTTCTGGAATTGATCAAAATAAAATAAATTTACTCTAAATTTTCACTTAGCACTGTTAGTAAAACTGTGTTTACATTTTTATTTTGAAATTTGCTATTTCAAATGATCATTTTCCATATGCATATATAATGTATAAATAACATATCCTCATGCAGCTTTATCGAGAAATAAGGTCATTGGAGAATTTGTTCACCTTGTCAATAGGAGTAAGATTGTAGCCTGAATTAATTCATATCCTTTGATGCAGGCCTTGTATATGACACCTTGATGCTGAAACACCAGTGCGTTTGTGGAAACACAAACAGTCATCCAGAACATGCAGGGAGAATCCAAAGCATTTGGTCACGGCTTCAGGAAACAGGTCTTCGTAGCAAGTGTGAGGTAATAGATGAACTAATAGAATGGAGGGAAAGTGGCTTTTGCAGCTTAATCTCTAGATATTACAGCAGAAATTTCTGAACTACCATGTTTCTCATATAATAAGGCCGGGTCTTTTTTTTTTTTTTTTTTTGAGGCCCGAAAAAATGCTAGGTCATCTTTTTGGGGGTGACTTAATTTCCCCCCCCTGCATCTTCGGGCGGGCGGGCAGCGACAGCTTGGATGTTGACCTCGGCGTTGGTGGGGCACTTCATATCGGGGTCAACGCAGGCAGCACCATATCCAGGTGTGCAACAAAAGTACTTCCTAATGGCAAGCCCCACCACCACCATTCCCCCCATTTCGCATGTTTTAATTTGGGGGGAGGGGCTTAATTTCATTTCATGCCTATAAAACATGCTGGGACTTCCTATTGAGGGAGGCCGTATTGTTGGAGAAACAGGGTACATCTGTAATTGTTTTACATGTAAATTATCAAAGAAAAGAGAAGACATGTTTTCGGTTATTCCAGGTATATTTTTAATCTTTTATTCTGTGATTCAAATCCTAGACTTGAAATAAATCATTTAAGCTAGGGGTTGGCAACCTTTTTCAACATATGGTGCAGAAGCTATACTGCCACTTTTCTGGGAAACTTATTGCTCTTCCCACACCCAGATGGCTGATTAAGTCATTGACAAAATGAGGCGGCAATGAGCACTCTGCCTTGTACGGACTAGGTGAATATATTTCTTTTGGGACCATGGATGATACTGGTGGTCAGGCACAGGTTGCCAACTCCTACTCATGCATATAGGAATCCAGATTAAAGCATCTGTGCCAATTGATTTATCTCACCCTCCATAGGAATACAAGCAGTAAAAAGAAAACCCATACCTCTCTCAATTATTAGTTCCATAGTTGAATTGGTCTTATATCTTAATAATTCAATTATTGAATTTCTGCCTTTTGAAAATGCAGTTTTCCAGAAGTCACAGCCAGTGAATTTGTTGACAATGAGGAAATGCATGTCAAGCATTAGACAAGTTAGTTTCATGCCAATTTTAAGACTTCTATTGATGTAATATTTGCTGAGTTACTCAGTAAGTGTTGTGGTTCAATTAGATAAAATCACTTTCAGTTTATGAGGCCTGAATATATAGACAAGATGCTTATGGTTGTCTACCCTATGATATGCTCCCTTGACCTCTCCCTAATTTGGCTCATTAGAACCAGCTGGGGGAGGGTTGTGGGGGGGTGTGTCTTCCCTGGATCCGGAGGAGTTTGTCAACTATTGTCCAGTTACTGGGTAGTTTATTTGGGACAGGGTGCTTGAGAGGGTGATAATTTTGCAGCTTTATATATATTTGGAAGATGCCATTTATGTCAGCCCTGCACTATGATTTCACTTCCCCTTTCAAGAAGTTCCAGGTGGTTACTACACCTTTAAGGTTTTCTTCCTACTGGGATCTTCCTTGTTGATTTTATTTAATCAATCTTGATTGTTTTTATTTAATCAATCTTGATTGATTAAAAGTGGGCCAACTAACATTCATGGTTTGACGTTGACTGTTTTTATCAAACATTTTTGTTAAAAATCAAGAAGTTTAACAAGGCACCAAAGATAGTGCCACTGGACACATGTTCAGGTAAGTTCAATTCTAATGTCAGTGCTATTTCACTCCTATCTTATATGTCTGTCACTTTGAAACAAACCTAATGTTACACTGGTGAAATTCTGAATTGTGTATTTTATATGATAACCATTTTGTAAAAGTTAAACTCCATTTTCTTAGTTGCAATAAAGTGTTATACAATGCCACCTCTTTTCTTTCCCGATGTACTCTTGGTGCAGTTTATTTCAGATAATACAATTGGCATAAACATTTTTGCCTCTAAGTCAAAGAATGTCTACCTCACTCCATGAGGTTCCTAGAGCAAAAAATGGTGGTAAGATTATTCTTGTTTTTCTGTCTCTGAAACAGCAAGAATCCTAAAATTATTTATTTAGCATACAATTGTTCAAAATTTCAGAATTAAAATAGAGAAACCTTGTGAAGTCGGTGCATTTTTGATGTAATCTCTTTGGTCAGTCGCATTTGTGTACACCTTTATTTATATTTTCTATTTGGGATGATGCTTTTTCATCAAGGGAAATGGAATTTCACTGCTTCCTTTTCTCCTGTAGTGTATCCGTGGAAGAAAAGCAACTCTAGAAGAATTACAGACTGTGCATTCAGAAGCACACACACTGATTTATGGTACCAACCCGCTGAACAGACAGAAATTGGACAGCAGGAAACTGTTAGGTACAGAAAATGTAATGTTACCTGCTTTCCAGTTGTTCATTTGATTTGGGACTCTATAAATATAAAGCTCACTTAATCTAGGAATCCAGATCTTGTATACTTTGGTAGATTCTACTTGACAAGCTTTCCCATAAAGGCATGCTTTTTGCAATTTATTTTTCCTCTTGAGGACATTTTATTTATACAAGGTACCAGTGGCGGGATTCAAATAATTTAACGACTGGTTCTCTGCCCTAATGATCAGCTGGATAGGCATGTCTGGGTGGTCATGTGTGAGGGTGAGCGTGGCCAACTCGCCATCACTCACATCAAGGGGTGCCTCGCCACGCCCAGCCTCTTCTCGCCACACCTTGACCCACCTCACCCCTCTCCTCCCAGCCACTCCTTGTCACACCTGGCCTTGCCTCGCTTTCTGGCTATTCACCTTAAATGCCTCAACATATCTATAGTTCTGTAAAAATGTTCACCTTTTTTTGACTTTATTATCTGCATCTACCTGCCACAGATGTACTTTCATGGACCACTGAAAAGAGGAAATGGCTCACATGCTTTGCCCAAGAGTTTGATAGGCAGGTTACAAAACAGACTTTTGAGGGGATGCCACAAGGGTGGGGTGTGGGGGGGCAATGTATTTTCCAAAGCAGCAGAAGGCAAAATAAGAAGCAATGGATGGAAACTGAACAAGGAGAAGAGCAACCTAAACTAAGGAGAATCTTCCTGACATTATTCAATTTTGAACTCAAAATTGGCTTGAATAATCACATCCAAATAGTCCTCATCAAAGGCTTCAGATTGGAGTGAAATATTAAGCAGAGTGCCATAGGGCTCAACTCCCTTGAATCAGGGAACCAAGGGGTGCTGATAAAGTCTGCAGACTGCCCAGTGTTTTGGGGAGAGGAAGCTGGCTATTACTTTAAAAAGAGAGAGAGACAGAGAGAGATAAAAGATGTAAAAAGTTCTCCATAGGTTTGAGCAATGGGTTAAATTAAAAGAGTAGATCTTAAGAGAAATGTAAAATTATCCTCTAGGATGGGAAGCCTGAAAACCACAAACACTTGGTTTAGCAATTGTTCTTGTGGAAAAGATCTGGATGTCCTGGTCAACCACAAGTTAAATATGAGCTAGCAGTGTGATATATCTACTAATAAAGCAATCAATATTGCGTGCATGAGCAGGACCACAGAGTCCATATTATGGGAAGCAATTGCTCCACTCTACTCTGCCCTCATTGAATTCTACTTGGAATACTGGATATTGTGCAAAAAGTGACAATGACAACTAGAAGCAACTTAAGAAAAGTGCTACCAAAATGGTCAGATTGTCTAGAAACAAAGCCCTGTAAGAAACAGTTGATAGAATCATGAAATTGGGGGAAAAAACTAGAAAGATCATCTCGTTCATCCAGACTTCTACAATGTGCAGAGAAAATAATTAAACCATCCTTAAGAGATACATTTAATTTTCCCCTTAAAGATCTCCATAGATAGGAAACCAATAATCTCCACTGGTTGAATTTTTCACTGGTGTATAGATTTTACTGTCAGAAAAGTTTTCCTTATTTTTAAATAAAAGCTATGTATTTGCAATTGTATCCATAATTTCTGGTACTTATTAAAAGAACTGAGCATGTTCAATCTCCAGAATTCGAGTAAGAAGCATGGAAGGTCTTCAAATATCTGAATTGTTATAATTAGAAAAGGAATAGACTTACTCTCTTTTGCTCCAGAGGACAACACCAGAACTAATAGGTTAAAATTACTAAGAATTAGATTCCTGATTGTACTGTTTGCTAGTAGAAGAGGCTGTCATTTGAATGATTGGTTCTCCTTCAGTGGATGGCTTCAAACAGAAGCTGGATGATCTTTTTCCAGAAACAGTCTGTACTGAAGGAGGATGGGGTGGACTAAATTATTTCTATAGTTTCTTCCAACTGTGTGATTCCATGGCTTTCTTTATAACTGGCTAGGAAGCATTTTCTGGACAAATATTTAACTTTAATTTTGACCACAGCTTTATGGGTAGAGGGAGGGGAAAGAGAGGGAGGGCTCTTTTACAACACCACAATTCCCAAAATATATCGTATCTCATACCAATAAACAGTATATTATATGCGGGCTGTACTGTGGCAAACATTTTCATAAAAGAAACCAAATTCACCCCGAAGGGGTGCAGTGATTGCCCATTCCAGCCTCACTGGCTTGCTGACTAGGGTAGCTGGGGCTCTGCCAAAGTCCCGTTGACTTGCTTGAAGCGTATGGGATGTGCCAGGGGCATCGTGCCTATCCCTAGCTTCTGAATAGTGGGGGGGGTGATTAGGCATCTGGTACACCTGGTGTCTAGGATGGCCTCTATGTCTCCTTGGGCTCCCATCCTGGGCATCACTATCTGTGATTTTATAGCAAAGGGGAAGATGGCCTCACTTACTATCGAGTTGTGTTCATTGGCCTCACTTCTGTCACTCGGGACTGGTGGGGCTTCCGGAGCCGGAGGTTCTCCCCCTTTTGCAGAGGAAGGGGGAACCTCCACAGCTTACTGGACAAATCTCCCCTTGTGTGCTGGCTTGTGCTGGGTTCTCTTTGCCTTGGGCTCAGCTGGGATTTGGACTTGGAAGATGGATGCCGGGCTAACCACTCAGACACTCAGTGGCCTTGTTGGCCACACCTGGAGCACTTAATGACAGCGGTTGAGGCGAGTTTTGGTTCCTTGGGTGGTCTTATGCCAATTTGGCATGAGACCGCCCAGGCCAACTGGGCAAAGATCTACAACTTGTGACAGCCATCCAGGCCTGAACACAGTTAGCCTTTGATCTGGCCTACGCAGCTGCCCTGGAGCCAGCAAGAGACCAGCCCACTGTTTTGCTCCTGCCCCCACTGGGCGTGTGCACAGAAGGTGGAAAATGTTGGCATTCTGGATGAAAGGGAAGCATTCAGAACACAGTCAGCCTGTGGGGCAAGCTGCTCTCCAGGGATGCCGGCCCTGCAGACACACTGCCTCCTGTGTGCGTGCCTATGGGGCAGGGGCAGAACAGAGGTGGCCCTTTGCTGGCTCTGAACGGCCCTGTGGATCTAAGGCTGACCGCTTTCAGCTCGGATGGCTGCCACCGTGTTGTAGTTTAGTGCTTAGTTGGCCTGGGCTGGACTGAGGTGCTGCTGGCCGGTCTTTTGCTGTTTCCAGGGTGGCTCTGTGGGCCAGATCTAAGCACATTATGGGCTGGATCTAGTCTATGGGCTTTAGTTTGACACCCCTGCTCTAAGTAGTGAATCACAAATTACCAACCCAATCCCTTTTTCTTTACAGTAATCTGAGCTACTTTATTGGAATATTTAACAAAGTATTTTATTTTCAAGTTTGTCTGTGTGTTTTATTTTCCTAATGGAGGATATAAAATCCATCACTGTTATCTCCGGTCATCTTAAGCTTCCTTGATTGGCTCTGTTTAAATAGATTCATCATTTTTGATTCATCTTTCTTGCTGTGCTCTGTCTGGACAGAGACTTCAGAATTTAATAAGAGTTTGCCATGTTCACCATTGGAACTCAGAGTGTAATGTAAGTGTGTCTGGAATTTAAGTAGTTCAACTTGTGATGCTTTCCTGACCTGCTCCCGAGTTGCCATAGGTAGGGGGATGGGAATCGCACCTCACAGCTCCACCGAAGAATTCACAGTCAAAACAAGACACAGCCTAGCCAGCTGAATTCAAGGCCATCTCCACAGAGATCCACAATAGCTGGAGAGAGTGACTTCTATGACCCGGGAAATTGCTTCATTGGGGAATGTGACTGGTGACACACTCTGGAGGGAGAGTGGGAAACAGGGTCAGAGGCAAGGCATGAATTGGGTTGACAGCTGGCTTCACCTAGGTCATGCAGACATGGTGCTCCGAATAAAAAACTGGATTTTTCTTGCTAAATGGCTTGGTCGGAATCCTGACATCAACCAAAAATGACCAGGATTCCTGAGCCCCGGACTCTCCTCTTGCTCTCTGATACCTGTGGTGCATGGAGAGAAACTCAGGCCACCATGGCGGAGGACGGAATCTCGAAAGAAATCCTGCTTCTGGCAACCCAGTAGGAAGCAGATCCTACTCCCATCCAGGGAACTAGAGGAACCAACAGCCCAGTTGGAACCCAAGTGCAGCCATCTCTGACCATGGAAAACCGAGGTGCTCAGGATGCCTGCCTCAGTGACCAAAGCAGAAAGAGATGAGTATTGGTGGAAAAAAAAATCCCAAAGTAGCCGAGACCAAATTCCCCCATCCAAGTCCTGTTGTTTGGGACAACCTATAAGCAAACTAGAAGACTGGAGTGGATGAAGGGATGAGATCAGAACCCCAAAATCCCTACTTGGGACTCTAGGTGAGTCCTTGGAGAAATTGAGGGAGGAATTCCAACAAGCCACCTTTCGCAACGAGGGGCAGTTGTGTTGCCCAAAAGAAAGGGGGAAGGAGATAGGGGAGAATGCAACCAAACTTCCAGAAGGGAAGAGAAGCCAAATCCAACTTGCTGAGCTCCAATTAGCCAACCCTAAGTTTAAGTTGGAGCTAACCACAGAGCAACCCCGGGATGTCCAGGTGCACCTAACCCCCTAGAAAAGGGGAAGCAGATGAGAAGGCAGCCCCCCTCTCAATCTGGCAGAAGCAAACTGAGCCTGAGGCTGCCGCCTCTAGCTCCCCCACGCCACAAACTCCCCTCCACAAACTAAAGTTGATGGAAACTGCCAAGCACATCAAGAGTAGGCAGATGGGATCCAACAAGATGAGGGAGTGGCAGTGTTGAACAAACCACCCAGATTCAGGGGGAAATCTGATGGGGACTCAGATCAGCTAGCTCTATTCCTTGACTCTGCGGGAGTCCATTTAGATCATTATGGACATCTCTACCCATCGCATCTAGAGCTATGGTGCATGCCATAACCAGAGGATTAGAGGGAGAAGCAAATGAATGGCCTTTCATAGGCTCCCTCCAGCTGCAGGATGTCCACAAATTCCTACAAGAGCTAGA